TGCCTATCCTCTTTGTGGCGGCCATATTTACAGAAACATAATTAAACGAAGACATGGCTCAAAGGACTTGTATCCAAGCCAAAATTGTTAATAAATAAAAAGTATGTTATTAAGAACAAATTAGAAAGATATTTTATGAACTTTATTTATTTGTTTGTTTGAAGTCTTGAAGTCACAAACCAATAAATAATACATGATTGAAGTGGTTTGAAGTTGATTTGAAAAAGATATACTCTGTCCATTGACTTACAAGTCTGTGTTATTCTGCATTGAGGTTACTTGTGAGGCTTCACTTTTTTACTTTGTGCTTGTGACTTTTGTGATATCATTGTGAAATAGTTATCGGGTATGCTTAGGTCACGCTACAGCGTGCGTAGCTTCCAATTATTAAGCAAGAATAATTAATAACACTCACCTGCGTGTTGTCAAGTGGTCGCAAGATAATTTTCTATTATCTAATATGCCTGATATAAAGATTACACCACTAGGCGCAGGCCAGGATGTTGGCAGAAGCTGCATACTGCTGTCCATGGGTGGCAAGAACATAATGCTTGACTGTGGGATGCATATGGGATACAATGACGAGAGACGCTTTCCAGACTTCTCTTATATCGTACCCGAAGGTCCGATCACAAGCCAGATAGATTGTGTCATTATATCACACTTCCATCTTGATCATTGTGGAGCTCTTCCTTACATGTCTGAGATGGTGGGCTACAGTGGACCTATTTACATGACACATCCAACAAAAGCCATAGCTCCTATACTGCTAGAAGACATGCGAAAGGTGGCTGTAGAAAGAAAAGGAGAATCAAACTTTTTCACTTCACAAATGATAAAAGATTGCATAAAGAAAGTTACAGCGGTCACTTTACACCAATCTGTTATGGTCGACAATGAACTTGAGATCAAAGCCTATTACGCTGGCCATGTACTAGGAGCAGCTATGTTTTGGATCAGAGTGGGTTCACAATCTGTGGTATATACTGGAGACTACAACATGACTCCTGATCGACATTTAGGAGCTGCCTGGATTGATAAATGCAGACCAGATTTGCTCATATCCGAGTCAACATATGCAACTACTATCAGAGATTCAAAACGTTGTCGTGAGAGAGACTTCCTCAAAAAAGTCCACGAGTGTGTTGAGAAAGGTGGCAAAGTCCTCATACCTGTCTTTGCTTTAGGAAGGGCCCAGGAGCTCTGCATTTTATTGGAAACATACTGGGAGAGAATGAATTTGAAATACCCAGTGTATTTTGCACTCGGTTTGACAGAGAAAGCAAACAACTACTACAAAATGTTTATAACCTGGACTAATCAGAAGATCCGTAAAACTTTTGTACATAGAAACATGTTTGATTTCAAGCATATAAAGCCTTTTGACAAGTCTTACATTGATAACCCTGGGGCAATGGTTGTGTTTGCTACACCAGGAATGTTGCATGCCGGTTTGTCGCTGAACATTTTCAAGAAGTGGGCACCTTATGAACAAAATATGGTAATTATGCCAGGATTCTGTGTCCAAGGCACTGTTGGTCATAAAATCTTGAATGGGGCAAAAAAAGTTGAATTTGAAAACCGTCAAATTGTTGAAGTTAAAATGGCGGTGGAATACATGTCCTTTTCCGCTCATGCTGATGCCAAAGGCATAATGCAACTGATTCAGTACTGTGAGCCTAAAAATGTGCTACTAGTGCATGGTGAAGCACAGAAGATGGAGTTCTTGAAAGACAAAATTGAAAAGGAGTTTAAGATCAATTGTTACATGCCTGCAAATGGTGAGACCTGCACAATCAATACCCCAACTAAGATTCCTATTGATATTTCCTTACGATTGCTCAAAGCAGAGGCTGTGAGGTATAATGCTTTACCCCCTGACCCAAAAAGGCGTCGGGTATTGCATGGGATTCTTTGCGTTAAGGAGAACAGACTGTCTTTACTGGACATAGATGAGATGTGTGATGAGATTGGGATCAACAGACATGTTATTAGGTTTACAAATACTGTCCACTTTAAAGATGCAGGTCCGGCTGTGAAGACTGCTGAGAAACTGAAGACCTTGTTAATAGAAAAGCTGCCTGGTTGGACAATAACCATGTCCGATGGCAATATTTCAGTGGAATCTGTGCTCATCAAAGTTGAAGGAGACGATGATAGTACAAAGAACATTTACGTGTCTTGGACCAATCAGGATGAGGATCTAGGCAGCTACATTTTGGGATTACTTCAGTCTATGGTACAGTAGCTATAAGTATAAAGAAAACTTGTTTTCAGATATTTAATAAAACTTTTGTTTAACATTTTTGTTTTTAAACTTCATGTCTAAAACAGGCAAAAATAAGGTAATATATACTATCTATATAATTTTTCCTATGTACACCATGTTGTATCTGTGTTACATTTCCCTTGGTACCACATATGTTGTAGTTTATTCATTTGGTTCGCATTTTTCAATTCTTCCAATGGTGCATTGGGTTTCTGAAATAAAAAATATTGTTACTTGCTTAAAGTATCCTGTGAGACATTTCTTAGCAAATCTATTTGCAAGGATTATTTTTAATGGTAAATCATGAAAAATAATCATTTATTCGATAATTGTTAGTAATCAGTAGAGTATGATTTATGCATATTCATTCTGGTCACCAATGTAGTCATCAACGTCTTAATATGTTATTTTTTAGTCATGAGATAGGAGGTAATCACGTACCATTTGGTTAGATCGCGCCGTTTTTTGATTGGATATCTTTAGATAGTATTATAGGAGTGCCGGAATTAAAAGTAGGCGAGCAGCGTAACGGTATATTCATAGATAAGAAGTATTATTATACTGGCAGGTATCACTTTTAAAAATAATTTGCATTACAGAGAAAATAATATCCTGGACTAAAGCTCAATTTACTTCTTTGCTAATTTACTAAATTATACATAGCATAAAAAACTTTATGACAATTTTTATGATACCAAATGACGGGACGAACAAGTCGTGCGCCTGGTGGTAAGCGACACTCCTATCCATAATAGTTTCAGTGCCACAGAGCTTAAAATCGCAAAGATCATAGGGGTATTGGGTACTGCCGCTGCGCCCGTCAACCTGAGACATAAGTTGACAAGTCCCATGTGCATGTTATTTCACTAGCACCCTTACCCTTCCAAACCATAGATATAATATCTATGTTTCAAACTGTAATGCACACATTAATGCGTTCTAAATGCGAAATAGGTGAGGTGGTAGTACTTCCTGGACGAACTCCTTCACAAGGAGCTCTACGGTTACTGAATACTACGTCAAAACTAGATACGCGAGACGATATCTCCCGGAATTCCCGAGACTGCGCGAAAATTCTTTGGAAGATACGCGACCGGTTAAAACCGGTTTATGGCGCGTATCTTGTTTGTACGTTATACAATTCACATAAAGTTCATTATTCTGTGTATTATTTCGTTATAAAACTTAGCTTCCATTCCGTTCCGCGTTGATCTCAGTCCAAATTATGCATAAAGACAGAATACCTCGGAAACATTAGACATCCAAATAAACCATTCCTCTAAAAAATTAAGCTATTTTTTTTACATATTATGGTTACTATTCCACAGGCGACGTTAATAATGTGCCCGTTTTCAAATAGGCCCAGTAGAGCTAGCACGATAGGGCGCGACTTGAGCGAGAGCGACATAAAAGCGCGAGATATTGCCATTATCTATGGGAGTATAACAGTATCTCGCGCTTTATGTCGTTCTCGCGTAAGTCGCGCGTTATCATGCTAGCCCTACTGGTTTTCAAATAGAACCTGGGACCTCATCTAGCGCCCACAGTGTAACCCGTTGTGCGACCATTCAAGGTAATCTTTGGCGCCACAGAGGTCGTCGATATTAATTATAATTATAAATAGCGCCACCCATCCATTATCGATATTACTATTTATAATACACTGCCATCTACTGGCAGGGTGACCTATTGACTAATTATAGTTACTATTTCTTATGATAGAATAGTATGTCTTTATAATTTGTGTAATAGGTTTAAAGCTGGTGTTGGTGAATGGGGCCAATGATGTTGGTAAATAGTCTACTTACGCTCCAATTCCGTCGGTATTCGATTAGATAAAACATAACAACAAAGATAAGTTTTACTAGACTCGTCACGTCATTTTTATTAGTAGAGTTGTATTTCATTATTCGTTATGTCATTATTAGTATAGTTGAGTCAAGAATGAAATTCAGAAAATATACATATTATATAACATTTTGAATAAAAGTACGTTTATACGTACGGTTATACGTTTTACATACTTACCATATTCTGTGGAAATAGTCTTCTAAAGTCGCCACGATGTAAATATTCTCTATGTGCTTTAAGTAGACTGTCTCTAAGTTTAGTACTCATGCATTGTTTACACACTCCACATATGGGGTTCTCAACGCATTGATCTTTGCACATTGAACTGCATTCATCACCCCAAACGGCGATATTTTTCTGAGTAGATACCATGTTCTCGGCCGCAATCTTCTCTCTGAAAAAAGTTCGTACTCGAGGTATTCTTGACTTAGGTAATTAGAGAAATTGTCACACTAAACTTCGCGCTTGATACTTACAATTTAAAATATCAGAATTCAGTAATTTTTCTGGTAAGTTTTTTGTACTCAATTTTGATGACAATTTTTATTGTTTAATTACTCGAATATATCATCATGAAATACTAAAGAATATTTCAGGTTACCACACTCGAATATTAAATAGTACTTCATGATGATATTCTATACATATTTAAATAAAAACAAATTGTCACCAAAATTGAGTACAAAAAACTTACCTGAAAATTACCCAGTTACAGGCACATTATAGGACTTGTCAACTTATGTCTCATGATGACAGGCGCAGTGGCAGTGCCCCACAGATCTTTGCGATTTAAAGCTCTAAGGGCACTGTAATTGTTATGGCCAGGCGTGTGGCTTACCATCAGGCGCACGACTTGTTCGTCCCGTCACTTGATATTATCATACTTAATAAAAAATAGTTATTTGTTATGCAAGGCTGCAAAGTTGTTGTTTGACGCGAGTGCTTGTGTTGAAATCTGAGCAATTGATTATTTTTAAGATTGAATAGAATCCGAGTGTCGCGAGGGTTTCAAGGCAAAACAACTTTCCTGCCGAACGAAATACAACTTTTACCGCACTATAGCTAGGAAAATGGAAGATGAAAGAAAAACAGTTGAACTATAACAAATCAGTATTAATAAACAAAATTAGTTATCGATGTCAATTTAGTGTCAACAATAATAAGAATAATATATACTAACGGATTTATTTATTTAAATAACGCGTAGTTGAACGTGTAATTATGTTTTTTTTTCATCGAAAGTAAAAGTTAGTTGCAATAAAATCCATCGTTAACATTGACTTATGATCGTTAAGTTCCAATTTCAAAAACCTTTTGAGCGTTGATTTCTAATGAGAAAGAAAGCCTTTCCGAGCTAGTGTGGTGAAAAAAAATTACTCTATACCGCTTACAACAAGAAATGATTCAAAGTCCAAAGTATCAGAGTTGTAAGTACTCTTGGCTGTACGTAAATATTCTACCCATCCTACCTATAATAAATCATTTGCGTTATTAATTATCATTAATGTAAAGGTAATGTTAAGTGCCACGTAATTCTATATACAATATAAATTTTTGATAAAGCATATCACGCCTAAAACGTACTTGATGTAAATCAGTATTTACAATTACTACTGAGGAACCCTGTTATTCCAGGAAATAGACCAATTATTGGTATCGGTAGATTATAATAGTGATATATTGTTTAGTGATATGTGACAAGACTGCCCATTTATGATTCTCTGATTTATAAATATACCTAAATTTTCATATCATTGGTCATTGAAGATTAGCGACGTAACTCAATAGTGGATAGTTGACATAAAAGTCCCGGAAAAGGTCAGCGGTGGGTGGGTATCACTTGAGACGCCTACGTAAGAAAATTTATGTAAGGATGAAGTCGTAAAGAGAAGTGTATTTTTATATCTGCAAACAGCTGAGCTTTAGTCAGCAGGGTATCAATCACATTTCTGGGTCAGGTCATATTATGGAACATAGATTTTGTCATAAATTATTTGGATTTGTGCAGTTCTTGTTTGTGTTGTTGGGTGAAATTCTTTACTCTTGTAGTTACAGTACGTGCATATACCATTACGTATACCATTATGGGGAATAAGACCTCCGTCTTTACACTAGATATTAAGTATATAATAGATATTTCTAGCGCCTCCATTTTCGTTATCCGGAAGAAAAGTTTCAGGGTGTATTTCCACCGGCGAGGCGAGACGAGATGAGGGGGAGACGATTTTTTAAATTTGTATAGCAAAATATCAATTCTCTCCTAGCGCATCTTCGGTTGAAATGGTCGGGATTGACGAGTATGGGCGAGTCGAGATTTAAAAGATTTGTTGATGTAACATTGAACCGGATTGCTGCCTACATAGACTCTTTATTAACTCTGCAACGGAAACACTGTTCACGATGTCTCGTACGATATCGCGCGAGATCACGCGTGCTCGCGATGGCTATTAATGTCAATCGCGAGACTGTGGGATACAGTCGTGTGCATGGAAATGTAAACGTTCACACATTTCGAAATGATGTAAATATTAGATATTTCAAAAAATGTACCTTGTGCTGTTTTCAAAAATATGTAATCGACACGACGACACTATTTTAAAAAAGTATACTTTAATTTCAGAGAAAAATAAACAAACTACAGTCAATGAAAAATACATAGTCCTGGTGTCATACATGTGCAATATCATTTTCGTAAATATTTATACAATGCATAATATATATTTATATTTGTATTAAAATGTACACGATTAGGATTGTGATTTTATCATAATTATGTAACCACTTTTAAAACATTGCATCGTTTTCAAAAATATGTATACACAATATAGTTGCAATATAATGTAAACATACCAGCGCCAGTTGTAAACTTTTTTACGTGTATTTTGCTAGTTCGTAATATTTGCCCTGGGATAAAAGATTATATTTAAAAAAAGTTATTTTCGAAAAAGTTCTTTTTATTTATTTATTTTATCTTAGAGGGCTACAAACAGCTTATATTATAACATGATTATTTCTTCTCACAGTATCTTCATCATTCTTCTTCCGTTATCATATTTAATTATAAGAATTTGCGGAACATGATACTTTAGCCGCGTGTTTATCGCTAGACGAATTGAACAGCACTGTGTCTTCACTATCCGTAAACCTAGCGCGAACGCGCGAGTGCTCGCGCAAGACCGCGCTTGCTTGCGCAAGCTCACGATGGCAATTTTTGGTGGAAATAGGTCGACGAGATTTCAATTCTCGCCTCGCCTCGTCTCGACTCGCCTCGCCGGTAGAAAAGCACTTTAAGCCATGCATGTCCATAGTTTTTTATATTAAATTTTGAACTTAAAATTATGCAAATTAAGTATAGGTAATATGTACAAAATGGAGTGTACTCCAAAAATGATTCACAAAAAATGTCTTACTCCTGTTATTAATAACAAATGTAATAGCATTGACTCAACTGGTTTATCATGATTTTAGGGCTTTTTCTTAATCCTTCCTTCGCCGAGTGGAGGTAGGTAACATAAAATTAAATAGAAGTAACATAAGATCTTAGAATAATAACGCATAGAATGATAGTTTCATATCAAACGAACTGTCACAAGTGAGGCAAAAATCAAATTCATGTAGGCGTAAGCAACTTGTATTTACGCTCGTCGGCACGCACACAAATATACAAATAATGATGCCATGGAATAACATTTCCCTCAAAAGTGGGGAAATTGTATCTTGCTTAACTCATCATTAAGTTAAAGGTGCCTACAGATTTGCTCGATTTTGTCGATCGACAATCTCGATCAGGTGCCTACAGATATGCTCGATTTTGTCGATCGTTACTGTTGATCGACAACATCAAGTGACAGGAATTTTCAAAAATTTATTTTTGGTAATCCTTATGGAAATGGCATTTATATCTGAATACACGAAGGCGGACACGACTTTTCTCATTTCTAAATCCAAGATGGCGGACACGCAAAATGGAAATCGTTTTCGAGGTATTCGAGGTGCTCATCAAGAATATGGCATTTATTTCTAAATCCAAGATGGCGGACACGACTTTTGAAATAAATGCAATATGGGTATCATTTTCGAGGTATTTGGGGGTGCTCATTAGGAATATAGCACTTATTTCTAAATTCAAGATGGCGGACATGACTTTTCAAATAATAGCAAGTTGGGTGTCGTTTTCGAGGTATTTGGGGGTGCTCATTAAGAATATGGCAGTAATTTCTAAATCCAAGATAGCGGGCACGATTTTTCGAATAATAGCAAGTTGGGTGTCGTTTTCAAGGTATTTGGGGCTGCTCATTCCGAATGTAGCACATATTTCTAAATCCAAGATGGCGAAGAATTAGAAGAAGAAGAATTAGAAGTCTTGCCCGCTATCTTGTCTTCAGATATACATGCCATTTCCTTATGGTTTACCAAAAATACATTTTTGAAAAACCTACATGCGAGTTTAAGTGCGACTATCGAATTTGAATATACATATAAATAGCCTGATATTATCTGTGGGTATGTTTACATGAAAAGTACACGATAACAATAAAGAACCTGAACTTGAAAGTTATTTGTATACGATTTTGGAGAACTGACGATGACTTTTTAGTCAGTGTTAGTTCCCTGAAATAATTTTAGTTACGAACTTTTGAGTCTGGCCAAGACAATTTTTTAAAATGAGTGTATGATGAACAAGAATAATGATTTTTCACATGAAACTAATGAAGGCAAATACTAAATATATTTCGTAGAAATAGCTAACGTAAATTCCCGACAATGTTGTTGCGGCGGTGTACATTTGTAGAAACTTTGCAACCGTCGCGATATTGCCTATTCTCAAAAAATTACGTAATATAATTATTTTGAAACAGAATAGCAAAATGGGGAGAAAAAACCCGTTACTTTGCAACATTTTCGTATCTTGTTGCAACGAAATTAATTTTCTGTTTTAATGAATATTTACATAAAAATCCAAGTTGAAACGCGTTACTTCGTTGTGGAATGTGATGTTAGTGTCTATTTTATGTTTGTCTGATCTATTTTTAAACCCAATTACCGCACATTTCGTCATTTTCAGCAAAAATCTTTGAGCTGTTCGCGGTACAACTTGACCTTGAGCACTGACTGCCCGCTCGCTCATGTAGGCCTATACGGCGTCCTACAATTTGCCTTAGCGTGTGCGGGCTAGGTTTCTATGCGTTATTATTCTAAGCATAAGATTAAATATAATAAGAAAATTGGTGGGAGGAGTTGAAACCATAGGTACTTTACCTACGTAGATTATATAGTGGGTACCTATCAAAAAATGCAATTAAGGGTTTTATTGGGGCATCGTGTGACGCCACTTTTTCTTCTGCTAAATTAGGTACGATGCAAAATAAATAAAAATACTGTGAAATAATATCAAAAGCAAATGAAGAAAGGGGACTCTTAAAACTTTTTTCAGGTTTTCTATATTAAACGGTTCCGAGAAGCACCTTTGAGAATAGGTAGGAATGTTGTGGTGCGGATAGTTTGTTTGAAATGTACGTGGACTTTCTTGTAAATATACGTTGTATAAACTTAATTTACAGAATACTAAAATACCTCAGTTTAGCTTAGGTATTAGGCAAAATTAGGCAAAATGTGAGTAATAAAATAACGTCATAAACCTTTTCTATTATCATTAATATGAAGAATGTATTTGTAAACCATTTGTAACCTTACTTAACTGTATAAAATTTTTAAGTAGTGGAGTAGCCGGGTCTAAGAAGACACACTTAAGGTTTGAGACAATGTAGAATGAAAACAGAAAGTGTTAAAAAATCAACAAATGTTTTATTTACTAGTTTACTAATCTGACTCTTACATAGTGACGCGCAAAGTAATTATAAATTAATAATGTGGTTGTAATTGATAAAATAATGCAAAATGGGATTTGCATACTCTTACACTGTACTTATGGGTAAGAGTACACATTTGCATCGCACAATCGCATGCGCAAGAGTACGCAAGCCCTTTTTTGATAGAAGTTTATCGGTTGCACAAATCACACTCGAATACTCCCAATCTCTCGTATCCAGTACAAGCTTCATGACACCACAGATGGTATTGAGAGCATTTGGTCTAGTCTTCACGTATATACATATATGGTCTTTGTAAATCTCTTCACACCCTCCGCCATATCTTTCTGGTAATGACATTTTTTATATATTTGTCTAGTTTTCGGTCTTACTTTTTGTGATAATTAATTATTATAAAAAAACTTGTGAAAGAGTACCTACGCGCGGACTCCCACAATACATCTAGTTGCGTACCTATACTCTTACACACTTCACCCATTTCAGAATAAAACTACCACTAACTATGGGGTTGGGGTGCTGGTTATTTGCAACATCGGATGTTGCAAATGACCAGATTCGGTTGCAGTTGATCTCTAGACAAGTTTTTAAGCGTTTGATACAAAGTCAATTTTCAAAATATACCTAGTATCTTTAATATAGTCTCTGTGATAAGATCATTGCTCTGTGACAACTTGAAAATATCAAAAAAGTTTTAAGTGCCTAAATACATAAAAATGTGCAGATTTACGTAGATTTTTAGTTTGCAATAATTTTTTAAAATTTTTCCGCGTTACAATCTCCACTTCCTAGGACTAAAAAATGACACTGAAGTTAGCTGCGTATTCTTCGCGAATGTTTTCCATTTTGATCAAAAATGATAAAACATTTTGAAAGTGAAAAGAAATAATTAGCGTTTCCTTATGTTTGGCGGTACAGTTAAAAAATGTTCATGATTAGTGTACAGTCCATCATCGGTTCCACCTTACTATAACCACTAAGATACTACCTTAGTATAACTTATTTACGAAAAATTGTGTCAGGCATAACATTAATATGAGAAATCAAAACAAGCTGGCTGGCTGAAGTCACAAATTTATTTAAGGGCAATAAGCCCTTCCTTAATAAGATTCCGGTTGATATTTAAAATTTGCCATTTACGAAGTGTTTTTCTGATACCAAGTAACGAGACGATCAAATCGTGTGCTTGGTGTTAAGCAACACGCCTGTCCATAACAGTTACAGTGCCACTCAGAGCTTTAAATTGCAAAGTTCTGAGACATAAGTTGACAAGTCCCATGTGCCTGTAATCTCACCAGCACCTAGTGTTTGTTTGCAAAGAGCAAGCCCAAGAGGTTCTTGCTTATTCTTCATCTGAAATGAATCTATCTTACGAATGTGCAGTAGTAGTGCAGAGTTAATCAATATGATGGCTTCAAGTGTAAGTTGCTTACCTATGAAATTATTTGACTAAATTAATTATTTGATAGAGATTATTTGACTTTGACTAAGCTAAAGCTAGGTTTTTAACTAACACAGCATATTGCAATTGCTGCGATTATTGCAAATACACGAAATCAGTCATGGCACTGCTTTACGTCAACCACAAAATAAATGAGCATCCTACCCTCCTTATTGAAATTTGTCTGATAATATTATCTGATTGGTCGATTTGAATTTCCTCATTATAAGAGCGGTTACACATGGCGAATTTTAGCAGCGCGTCTGCAGCGATTCAGTCGCGATGCATCATCTACCTTTATACACAAAGCAGCTATACAATCGCGATGTAAACGCGATGCAAACACGATGCAAACGCGATACACGTTTTAAACGATTCAACATAAGCGAATGTATTGATGCAGTCCTGCGTTTGCATTGATGAAACCGTCTATAAATCGTTAGTATCGCTATGCATTCGTGCGTTTTATCACTGCTAAAAGTCCTAGACCGTGTGTAACCGCTTTAACGCGAAAAAATCATAGATAACTCACTTATAGTCTGAAGAGATTGGTCTAGTCACCTGACTAACACCTGTCAGGGAAAACACGTTGTACAGCACTTGTTCATACAGCAACTGATTCGGAGGATAGTGGGCAGAACTCAGGTTTGGAGACATATTGGCTTCCAGCAGGAACACCGTAAGATCTTCATCCATCATCAAGTCGAAACGCATTAACTCGAAGAAGTTATCAGATGATGGGTAGTTCTTTAACTGAAAGGAGAAGGAGGCATGAATTACTAGATTTTTGATGTTTTAAAAAAAGTGATAAGGATTTAGTAATATACTGCTCTGATCCCTGAGTCGCATTGTTTTTACGAATATTATGTGGAAACAAAATATTGAATTAAAGGACTCAGTTCCTCTAAATTCTAAACTAAACAGGCAATTTTACGATTGCTGGCGTTGGCAATATGCAAATACTCGATGACGCAAATGAAGCACTTAGACTGTAATGCTCTGGCCACACAGAGGCGGCCGCGGAAGCGTTCCGGGCGCGGGATTTTTTGTAATGTATCAGTTCTTATGAACCCTGCCACACTGAAAGGCGCGGCGGCCGCGGGGCGAGGCGGCGCGGTGCGGGGCCGCACGCCATGACAAACAGGCAGAGCGGGCGCGGGCCGCGGCCGCGGCGTCCGCGGGGCGGGTGCGGTCGCGGGTGTTGTAATACATTGAGTTCTATGCAACCGTTCACACAGCGCGTCAGTGGCGGGGCGCGATCCCGGAGCGGGGCTTCAGCGGGCTTGGACGTTGTATTTTTTTACAACTAGGGAATGTGTTTTAATTGATTTTAATCAAGTTTCAAGATGAATTCGACGGAAAAACTTATATCATTGGTGCAATCATACCCCATTTTATTTAATACAAGTGACAGAAATTATAAAAACATAGAAATTATTTGGGAAACAATTCCGAGGAGCTAAATCAAGATCGTGAGTATATTTTTTATGTTTTTAATTATTATTCAAATAATTGCCAAATTTTTCTCTGATTTCAATTGCATAATCAGACGATCTTTGATTTGTACGAATTGGAAGTAGGTAGTTCATTGGCCTCAAGTGGTTGAGAATCGCTCTGTTGAACAGCATTGTTACCGTTCTTACTTTAATGAAATTGTGTAAACAACACGTGCCTTTGACAACTTCTATTGTCGTTTCAATATCATATTGCATGAGACGTCTATAGACTTGCCATTTCTGTGTTAGCTGGCCGAATACGTTGTGGAAAACGTCTCCCTCCATCAATAACAATCAACTGTGAGATACCTCTTCTCTTCTCTAAGAAAAAAACATGACGCCGTAGATTATCTGTTCATTAGTTATGCAGAAACATTTAAAAAACTGAAACCCACAATTCAAGCCGAAATCAAATTGAAACTTGCACACATTTTTACAGAAGCTGAACTGAACGACCTAGAAGAAAATCAAATTTCAGTAGCACCGGTACAATCTCCTTCATTTGCCTTAATTAGCACAGCAAGTAATAACGATCAAGAAAGTATCCCAGTTTCATTGCAACTAATTCCTGAAGACTTGTGTTTCCCATTATGGTACCTGTAATATGGTTGATGACTAAACTACACAGGGTAATTCCAAAAGGTATGGTACTGAATTAATGCTGTGATAACATAAATAATGTAATAAGAAATGATGAATGCTAATTTAATAAATAAAAAGTTAAATAAATAAACAGTTAAGTTTAATAAATAGCAACCAAGGAGTTTTATAATTTTTATTAGAGTATTGAATGGTCTACAAAACACTTTTTGTTTGAATAAGTTTGCATTGTTAGTTCTGAGATGTTGATTTTTATGTTAGTGACTCGGATTCATTGCTCCCGAGTGTATAAGTAGGTATATAAGTTAAGTATAATTGCAATTATGCATTGTTCATAATAATTTAAGTAGGTACATAAAATTAAATAGAATTGTTGTTGATTCTACAAATCTTAGATGCCTGTTATTTGTTAAAATAAAAAATCATGGGCCGTAGGAAGCCAGCATTAGACTGATAGTAAAAGAAGTTTGAATTAATTGTGTTAAGATTGTTGATTGTTCATAATAATGTAACTTTCGATAGGGACCTATTAATTATTTATTAAAATAAAAATGCCCAGCGAGTTTGTTAGAAATAGAAGTTTTAAGTTAACTATGTTAAAATTGCTCAAAATAATATAAGTAGGTACATAAGTTAAATACAATTGTTGTTACATAAATCTTAGATAGATACATATTATTAGTTAAAATAAAAACGCCCAGTGAGACTGCTACAAAAAGAAGTTTCAAGTTAATTTCAATTGCAATTCAAAATAATCAGATGACAAATAATTTGTCAAAATAAAAATGCCCAGTGAGACAGATAGAAAAAGAAGTTTCAAGTTAACTATGTTAAGATTGTTCAAAATAATGCACTTATGTAGATACATAACTTAAACAAAATAGTTGGTGTTATACAAATCTTAGATAGGTACTTATTATTTATTAAAATAAAAATGCCCATTTGGACTGATAGAAAAAGAAGTTTCAAGTTAATTACGTATATAGATTGTTAATAATAAAGTAAGTAGGTACAGTAGTTAAATGCAATTATTATTGTTGATTCTACAAATCTTATATACCTATTATTTGTTATAATGAAAATGCCCAGTGAGTCTCACTGAAAAAATAGTTTCAAGTTAATTGTGTTAAGATTATAGAATTTTTTAATGTTTTTAAATAAACAATTTCTGTTCATATGAATAGTTTGATTCAAAACCTTCAAAGTAAGTATACAGAGTGTCCCAAAACTCAACGATAACCTGGGAACAGAATGTTGCCTAGTTTGTAACTACCCAGAAAAAAATATTTAAAAAATCGGAGTCATTTTCTTTTTGTAATATAAGCATTTTAATGAAAAATGTTGAAAATGTACGCCCTGTACCCCATTTTTAAGTACTACAATTACAAATTTGCTAATTTTGCTGTTCTAGTTTTTGTAACGGTAACCGGAAACAGCCCAGCTAATGAGCACAATGCCAAAGAAAGCCCGAATTACTCTAGTACACTCTAGTTTCAGCACTAAAAAAATATGTATTTAATTTTTTCTTGAAATTTTTAGCAGATTTTTTTTCAAGGTAACTTTAACACCCCATACAAAAGTTTAAAGATGTTCTTCTACATCACTATCCGATAGTGACATGGACCTTTCTTTATTTGTGTTGAAAATGAAATGTGGCGTGACGCTTTTGGTGTCACACCGGCCGCCTTCGTGCCGCTGTCCCGTCACGAACTACACTCGGGATTGCCGTGTGGCATGCCCCGGCACGCATTCGCTTCCCGCAGGTCCGCCCCCGAAACGCTTTTCCCGCTATACCGCGTCTGTGTGGCCTGACCTTAAGTGCTATCTATAGGTTAAGTGTAAAGCAATGAAAAGATGAGACTTACGTTTTACATTGTTCTAAACCATTTTGCAAGTACAATTAGACGAAGCTTAGATAATACAAGTGGTTTTATTTGTACCTACGATTTGATAATAGAAACTAGATAATAGAAACTAGATTTGATAATAGATAATAGAAACTTTAGGCGCGTGAGACGTACTGATATTATCGGTTTGGATTTTTTGCCAGTTTTCGTGGTGCTTTTTGTTTTTTTTATTTCTTTGTAATTCGCTCCTGTTGTCTCTGTCCACTGATGATATAGTCTTAATACTGATTTATAATTGCAGCAGATAATAAGGTAGGATAGGAACTGAAGGACTTAAATTACTTACAGCTTCGATAATGTGTTTTTCTTTCATGACGAATATCTCAGATATTGCTTTTTGCACCTCTTCCCACATCTTTGTCGGATCCTTACCCTAAAAAAGAATAAAACTTAAGGTAACATACGCAATGTCTCAAAAAAGTCTATTAGTAGAACGTTGTGTTAGGGTATTGTCTAGTCTAGGACTGGGAGAACTACAGGAGGGCCAAATCCATACAAAAACAACGCATACGTTACAGAATAACCGCTTCCGGGAGCGCTTACGGTGTTGGCCATTGAACTTGAACGTTGCGTCTTGTGCATAGGTGAACAGGATAAGGAAAATTTTCACCAACTCTGCACTTTTAGTAGCAGTAGAGCTCCTTGTGAAAGAGTTCGTCCAGGGAAGTACTGCCACCTTACCTATTTCTGCCGCCAAGCAGTAATGTCACCATTACTGTGTTCCGGTTTTGAAGGGGCTGGTAAAATTACAGCATGGGACTTGTCAACTTATGTCTCAGGTCTCGGGCGCAGTGACAGTGCCCTTCAGATCTCTGCGATTTAAAGCTCTGAGTGGCAATGCAACCGTTATGGACAGGCGTGTAGTTTACCATCAGGCGCACGACTTGTTCGTCCCGTCACTTGATATTATAAAAAAAAACCTAGCATTAATTAAGGTCGGCTCGTTAGGCAGAGTTTACAATACATGTAGGTACCACTTCCCTCTTTGGTGGAGACATAAACCTCAATCAAACAAAAACACTCTTTGCGGTATGATTTTTTTCCAAGACAGTTGACAGAACATTCAATAGAGTTTCTAGATTCATCTACGATTGTCATATAGATGTGTACACGTCACCATATTATAACTCTATTGTGGATCAAAGGACACAGCGGTTCACGTATAATGTTTTAGTGTAGCCAACTACAAGGCGAAACATGTGGGAGTACAGAGGTCGCTCCATGAAGATTTCAATGGACTCAAGAAGACGCTAAAATTACTGGAGGAGCTGGGAAGCTACGAGTAGGTCTCTGCACTCATATCACGCAAAATAGAGGCTACGACGTCGTTAATATCATATTTATATTTCATTTAATAATTTGACTAAAAAAATGATATAAGAAACACTTATTTTATTTAGGATGTATAAAAACATTTTAAAACGTTTAGTACCACGGAAGTAAGAACTGTGTTTTGTACTTTTACTCACTTTGGATCTCGCATAAATATCAAAGGAATCTTTCATGGTGTATCCTAGAGCAGTGTACGAATGTGCCAATGAGGGTACCTCCCATGTAGGTAGGTAGTCGTCTCTAACCACATATTTGTCCAGGTCTCTAGGATCAAAAGGATAGTACTTTGTTGGACAGTATCTAGAAATAAAAAAGCATGCATATATAAATAGGTATATAAATGCATTTCCTCTAAATAAGCTATGGGACAAATATCAGAAAAAATCTTAAATGTTGTAAGAAAGAAGGTCCGTATAATAAAAATGATCATTTAATCAATATTTTTATGAAAAATATTGTTAACATTTCTAAATCAATAAATAAAATCTGAAAATTGATAAAGTCAGATGGGGAAAGAAGAACGCCGGGGGCAGAGAGACTTGAAGCTTTTAACTGCCTCCGTGACCGAACGGTTACCATACTGGAATGCCAGGCAGAGGTCCCGAATTCGATTTCTCGGCCGGGAGAAATTCGTATGCCTACATTTATTTCTCTCGTGAGATTAGTTGTAAGTTGTGGTTATTTATGTGTGTGTCCATGGCACCCGCTGATCAGATCATTTTCAAGTTATAGCCATTATGATATCGATCCCTGCGATACAGGGTTTTGGCCCTACTGCGGGGCTAGGAGTGTGTGCATAAAAATGCCTTACCTCTTCCATAGAAGTTAGCACTATAGTCTCTCAGTCATAAAACAGACAAACAAATTAGTTTAAACCAAATATTTGAATATAGAATATCGTTGGTTTAAACGATTTTAAAGAGATGTCGCTACTGTGCTTTTTTTCAAAAGGTGGAAACAACTTATGTGACAGTTGCGCAATCTTGAGAACACGAGGTTCCTCTTAGACAAAGATTTCAATAGATATCGTCGCTCTGATGCCATCTTTTGGGGGAAGAAAAACGTTAGCACATTTGCACGTTTTCGGCAAATACATCGTAAGTATTAAATTTAGCGTAGCGATTGTTAAAACATTTACATGTTTCAGCTGATGAACAAACGCAAGTTTAGTGTACTTCAAAATTTTTATAAGACTATCTGTTCTTTCTAGAGCTAAAAACATTTGACTCAAAATAAAGTATGTACCTCTCACCCCACCTGACTATAATATATGTGATCTGTTATCATCAAACACCAAATACACCACGTGACATCATATAATTATGTAGGTAAGCAAAGAAACGTCACCGTACTCACTGTTTGCCTGTTCCTTGTATTTTTATTCTCTGTTTGAACATTTTATAAAATCACATTTAATAAAATCTGTATCAATTTTGGATGGAGGACAGTAGTCAATCAATACGTAAAATTTTTGTAAGTGGCAAAGTGATATTGTCTAGTTTGTTTACCTACAAATGACGTCACGCGTTCTGAGTTGACACACGGTAATTTATTTATTTAATTACATTTAAACTAGTTTTGAGACTTGGAAATAATATATTCATTGTGGATATTTTTAAAAACTTATCAAGATATGCGATTCCCTATTCATTACTAGAATTTTTTTAAATTCATATTTTTCGTCGATTGCCCTCACAAACATGGGCATGTAAGGTTTGCGAATTTCTTTGGTAACATCATTTTTTGCAAATGTTTTAAACAAGCCAAAGGACTGTGTTTTTGAATTCACTAATAAATCAAATCCTCAAACATATAGTTTCCTAAATCTCTCTGTACCATATAGCCACTAAAGTTATATATAGCTTCAAAGGAACATTGTTAGTTTTGAAACTGTGCGGAAACAAGAGAAGTAAAGCCGAAGGATTTAAAGTGTCTAACAAATTAACAATACTATCCCGATAGTATTACAAATAACTTAATGAGGAGTTTCAAACAATAGAAACGACCGTTGTTCCGTTAAATTACTATCTATTTAAAATGCAGTTTGGCGGAAATTATGTATGGCTTTATGCGGCGGCAGAGCCACTCTTATTACAAATTAAGAAAAAAAAATTTTCAATTGTATGTTCAGTATGGCAACTGCTAGTTGTGCAATGCGCAACAGGAAGTGAGCGTGCCTACAGCTCCGGTACCTATCTGGAAAATAGGGAGCGTACTGTACGTGCACCCGGGGCGGCTCACCAGAGGCACTAGTCTCTCGAAGAACCAGATGAAGTCAAGTGACAGAGGTCGATGACAACCTTGTACACTGGCTGATTTGGGGTCAGAACCTGAACTTGTAAGGTTCCTGTGCACGCACAGGTTGTAGTGTCCTTCTCGTACGCCCTAAGGGTAGATAGTGAGGGTCACTATAATCAAAACTAACGTAGAAAGATATGGTGCTTGTATGTAAAGCATGTCCTTATCTACCGACCCGAGAGATAGGGTTTTCCGGAGAGACTACGGGTTCGACGGCAAGACCAGGGTACGGTAGACGTCCGGGCCAAGCCCTCCGCCAGTTATACGTCTCCACGGGCGTCTGGAAAATAGGGAGGGTGCTGTACGTGCACCCGGGGCGGCCCACCTGAGGCACTAGATATTTATAAAGAACCGTATGAAGTGCGTGCAAACGTGCTGATCTGGGGTTAGGACCTGACTTAGACGGTCCCTGTGCAAGCTCGCTTGCACAGGGCATAGTGCCCTTTCCGCATAACCAAGAGGTTGATAGGGAGGGGCACTATAAACAAAACTTATGTAGAAAGACATGGGACAGTATGTTAAGCACAGGAAACTTATTACATAACTAATTTCAGCTTTAAGCAGGGTTGAAAATTAAGAAGAAAATCATTTTCCCTGATAGTTATCCGATATATGTATACCGATTGTTATGCATGTTGATTCATAATTTTGCCTGTTTAAATTTTGACTAAAAATGACAAACAGTGAGAAACTAAATAAACACAAAGTAAAATCTTCGGGAAAACGATTTTGGTTTGTTTATTGAGATTTGCGACTTTCTTTTGAGATTGACATTTGGCACGTTTGTACATCTCTGATACAAACATACGGCACGACATCGCAAGCGGTAACATTTTGTTGTTTCTATTAATTTTATAAGTATATTCAAGATAATTATAGTGATAAAATTATTATGAGAATTATAACGACGAACTTAAATTGTTAAGTATAAAGTTTTTATTTCATTCACTATCTTGCAGTGATAGCAGAGAACAAAAAGTAAGAGAATGGATACTCTCCGCCCTCCGTAGATTTAGATACCGCACCACGCCCCGCACATTGACGGTCACATTGACTGAACGACAACAAGGGTGTCGGCGAGCCGTATTTGAATATAGTTTTCATTTATTCATCACAAAACTTTTACGTTAATATATAACATCATTATACGGCGGAAACTAGCCCGTTGCACCAAGTACCAAGTAGTAAGTAACATCATTGTACGTTACTATTTATAATGGTCGTGAATTGTGCTGTGTACGGCTGTTTATTATAAAATAAACGGGATAAAGAGAGGAGTTTCTTTCGTTTTCCGAAAGATGAAACGAAAATGATAAAATCTTATGTCTGAGACTCATTCAGTCATGGTTTTCTTCGTTTACTTAGTGCAAAGTAATATATAATACAGATTTATTATACCAATACAATGACACGCCATAACTTCGTGAGGTAGTAGACAAAGGTTCTCTAATTTGTAATGTGTATTGCCGATAAATATTACATAGCGAATATACCTAGTTATTGACCAATTAAAAAATAAAAAATAAAAATAAAAATTACAAAATTAAATGATAAACTTGGACACGCAATTTCAAATACCTTGGTTACCTTATATAAAACCTGTCCAAAATATACAATCTTTTAGGTGCTGTTAATATATTTTTTAAATAAATCTTCAATATTATTCTGGTTAGTGAATTAATAAAAAATATAATATTATATCGATATAAATACCTAATGAACATGAGTAATTCTTCGGATTCTTTTAATAGAATTAAAGATGACAGATTCGCCGACGAATTTTCGCTTTGTTGCCGCTCTGACCACGAAATGTAAATTGTACGAGAAAGTGATTAGTAACCCTGTCACTTCACGCACACGTTTGCGCGTGTGCAGGTAGTACCTTGTTGTATATAGTAGTAGTAGGTAAATAACTTTCTACAGTTGTATGGTGTGTCCGGGGTGTGGTGATAGTGAATGAAAAAGAGACTTGTGGTATGCAGCGTACATTAACAGCCACTTTTCATACAGTCAATATCATATCATATTCATATTAATTTCATATTCATATAATTCATATTCATATGAATGTCATATTATATGAACATATTTTAAGCTTTAGGTTGACATGTGAGTGGCACACAGCTGCTCTACCGTTGTACAGTGACTTCGTTTTCATATTAATTTTGATAGAAACGCCTTTACACGACAGTCGGTTAAACTTTACATACTCGGAGTTCTTTGCAACTTTTCTCCACTTCGAAAGGTACAATATACATTGTTGTAAACACTAAGTATTTTATAAGTACTTTCTACATTTTTATGTGTCATCCTTTTTAAAATTTTATAAGATCACTACAATATACATTTTGTTGTGAAATTTATATATATACATATTTGTCTATGAATTTAAACTGAACTAATTTAGACGAGAGGAAAACTACCTCAGAGTTATTCGACCTTCTTCACTGTGGTTCAGTAAGAAAGTTTCACAACTTGTTCACTTTCATAGTTCCTATTTGAAAACGATTCTCAACGTCCATCTCACCCACTGCGCCTGGTCGCAAAATATCCTCGCTATCAATTATCAGGTATCAGGAGCTTATCTGCCATAGTGCTTTCGGCTTTTTTGTTCAATCGGGCGCAATTTTATGCATTTAATGGTATAATACTAATTTGTTTTATAGCTTTTAGGATATATACGTATCCAAACTGTAGTGAAAATTAATTGTTTTATAAGATTTGCAAAAAATAGAAATATTAATTTTTGAAAAGTATTGTAAAGGGAGAATACTTAAAAATCTGAGTCCCCATTATTCATTCACTGTGTAATAGTGGTATGTATGTAGGTAATGGTGGTAGGGTAAAATTTCCATGCAGGTGTCTGGATACGTTTCACTTTTTTATAATTACAAGCCACTACAAACGATAATAATCTACACACCTGAACAACACATCGCCTTTGTACCAATATGCTCTCAAAGGATTCACGGAAGTGAGCACAACATAAACGCCAATATCAAACTTATGTCCATCAACTAAAAACGGTTTCTGCACGTACTCCTGCACGAAACTTTCGCCACTTGACAAGTTTATTTCACTCACGTTTTTTAAATACACGCCTCTGTGGTGATTGTGTTTTTCTAAAAATACCGAATCTTTATTTTCCTTTGCATATTTTAAAAATTGTTCCTTGTTTTGAGGTAATTTGAAAGCTTTTGGTATGTATTTAGAATCGGAAGTTGCCAAATCTACTTTAGTCGTTATGTATCCTGATCCAGGAAAATGGTTCACTTTTTGATGCGGTTTTAATCTATGAAGATGGGGATATAGCACTCTGAAAGGATAATCATGAGACCAAAGCAAATCCCAGGGTGTGTAATTTGTACTCTTTTCATAGCCTACTCTTTCCAAAACCAAATGAACGTGTTTCAGTAAACCATTTCGGTTATTAACATCACTATGGGCAGAGTAGACCCAATATTTTGGTTTTATTGTTTCTTGCTTGGGTAGATTTTTATTTTTATTATTTATGTTGACAATTTCTAATAAAATTCCCAATGAAACTCCGATTATACACACTACAAGAAAAACACTTCCTGTAGAATCAGTCCTTGAATATGTTATGACGGGTTTTTCGTGTGTGCTTTCGTTTTTATTTTTGTTTTGGTTTTGTGTGTTTTCCTGAAATAGACAATCTAATTAGACTGGAAGAACATAAATAAACACGTGTAACATAGTCGAAAGAAATCTAATTACAGGGCCTTTGGCTTTCCTGGAGTTGGTAAGTAGTCTGTACCATTTGACTTAATGACAATAGAATGTATTGCGTGAGAAAAACAGGAAGTCCGGTTCACAGATCCACAATTAGTTGATACAGTCACGCTTAGAGCATATATGCTCTAAGTAGTCACGTGTCAAGTATTAAATTTGGAAGGGTGTAAACATTGACGATTTGGAAATACGTCGGTTTTCTAACTTTGATGTATTTGCTTAATTATCTAAATAGTAATTTAAGTAGGACATTATGAATATCCTATTTAGCTGATATGATATCATGATCTAAGTAACATATATTTAGACATATTTGTATGTTCGAACTTACATTAGTTTCAGTTTCTTCCATTTTCTGTAACTTAGCGTTGAGGATGTGACAGATATTTAGTATCTTTGTGTATGCTCTGGAAGCAAATTGTTAGATATAATTCTAATTAGCTATTAGATATGAATTTAAATGTTAGCTTCATTACTACATACATGTGGTAGCTACAGTTAATTTAGAAAGTTAGGAAATATTGAGAAAATATTCACCGTTATCCTACATTTCCATATTTGACTTTCTTTTGTTTTACAAGTATATCTTTTATTCATTCTTTTATTTTCCTTACTAAGTATTGAATATATAATAAGCTTAGGAAGGCAAAACTACTAAAAAAATTTATCATTTTTTAAACGTGCGTACAGAAACGCTGGTATAAAGAGCTTGTTAATAAACTGTCCATTCTGGGTACCCACCTAGTAACCGTAGGATTTCGACTCCAGGAAATGTTTTCAATAATATTGTGTTTAAGATCTACTACACATTGACATAATCCGTGACAAACAGAGAAGACCTTCATACATTATTTAAATAATATATTCACATACCTAAGATTATAGAACTAAGAAAAGGTACAAAAACTTGCTTGACGGTTACGACACAAGATATTCCTCTTCATATACTGCACAATTTAAAAGAACACATAAAACTAGAAAAAATAGTCTTATTACACACGGGTATTTTTCTCAGCACATACGATGAGAATGACTAGGTAGAATAAAAGAGGGATGGAAGATGAACTGTAGTTATGGCGAGAGAGAGAGACCGACTGCACTTTCTAAAACCTGCTTACATTTAAGGTCACATCAGCTGGGTACCGGTGAGATACGAAACAGTGGAAACGTATATATATGTATATACAAATGTCTTTCTCATAATGTAAGTGATTCTAAGGAATTGAAATTGCCAATATTTCAATGTCATTTTTTGTTTTATTACATTCCAAAGACGTTTCCACTTAGTCTTGGTGAAAGCGTTAGACACTTCTATTTATACCGTACTTCACTAATTTGGCAATTGTATGTATGTTCAAAAAATTGTAAAGCATTAGATCAGTCTAGTTACCCCATGAAACCACTTTAAAAATTTATTATACCTAAAATTCAGCGTCCTACAGGGTCTGATCTTACACCCAGTTTCTTTTCTTGTTCTCTTTAGAAACCCGTGTTCAATATTCTATGACGCGATTAGTTTGTAACTAAGATTGAACAGGAAGTGTGTAAGTACGTCATTGCAATTGCGCATTTAATAATGACTGCCTCTGATGTAAGTTTGTATACTGTGAGTATTTTTTATTTATATAACAATACAGGAGCTTTTACTTTTTTTTAACCTTAATCATTTGCAATTTGTTTGGAGAAAATTAAATTAATTACGAATGAAACTCTAAGCTGAATTTCGGTGCACATTATGCTGAAAAAATCGGTAATAGTAGGCAAAGGTACAAAATTAATATGCATCACCTTTAATCGAGCATATAATCGAAATCAAAAGACGCCTGAAGTATTTTTTTTAATCGTCTTCAAAAAAAGGGGGAGGTCCTCAATTCGACTGCATTTTTTTTGTATGTATGTTACGCGATAACCCCGGTTTTGCGAACTGAATTTGATGACTGTTTTTTGTTGGAATGAGGGTACTTCAGTATCGGTCCCATTTAAATTTGGAGAAAATATTCCACCTTTAAGGGTGGCAAACTAGGGGATGAATCCGGTTTCGCGCACTTTCTCGTAGCCGATTTCAAGAAAACTTGGCAAATAGATGTAATTCCACGAACCTTTGACTTCGGTTTTTTAAAATAAAAAAGTTACGATTATTTTTCTAGTATAATATGATCAGTTATTCATATGAACATTGTTATCATAATTTTTGTTTTATTGAATATGTGGGGCGAACTATAAGTTTCCGGAATGAATTAGAAAAAAATACTATAAATGGCCAGAAATGAATTTATTGTTTCTCAAAATATTCTCCGTTAGCGTTAATGAACTTTTTTATACGAATGAACCAATTTTGAAAAGATTTATGCCACTCCCCTGTGACAATCTCTGAAACATATTTTTCACGCTCTTCGACAGCCTCTTCAGGTGATTAAAATCGTTGACCGCGTAACTGGTTCTTAATTTTTGGAAATAAATAAAAGTCACAAGGTGAGGCTAGGTCAGGACTGTAGGCGGGATGGCTCATAGGGTCAACGTTGTTCACCTTCAAAAACTCATTTGTCGGTCTGGCCGTGTGAGAACTGGCATTATCGTGGTGCAAGATGATACGGCGTTTACGGTTATTTTACGGAGTTTGTCAATAACTTCCGGCAAACAAATGTGTACCAATCACTATTCACGGTACAACGATTCTCCAAAGCAACAGTAGACACGTGTCCAGTTTTATTAAAAAAAGAAGCAATCATCCGCTTAGAGGCACTTTGCACGCGCGCCACTTTGGTTGGTTTCGGCTCAACTGGAAAGACCCATATGCTCGATTACTACTTTATTTTGGGATCGTAATTACAAATCCATGTTTCGTCACCTGTTATCTCACACCAAATTTGACGTCCCTTCGTTGAATCTGGTAAGCATAGCATTGCACTAAGTGACGCGATCCGTTTTTTGAGCCTCAGTCAAATTGTGTGGGATCCACCGAGAGCACAGCTTTTTCACACACACAATGTTTGTGTAGTATTTAACTCATGTCTATGCCTAAAGATGCCCGAATCTCATGGTATGCCACATGCCTGTCTGTTTTGATCATAAGGTGCACAGCATCGATGTTTTTGTTATTCACAGCAGTGGACGGGCGACCATCACGAAATTCGTCACTGAGATTCACACGACCGCGTTTGAATTCTGCAAACCAGCTATAAATAGTCGTCTTACATGGTACTTCATCGCCAAAAGCAGTTTGAAGCCGAGTGAAGTTCCGATGAGCTGTTAAATTATACTTAAAGTCGTAGAAAATCATACTATGAAAATTTTTACGAGTTAAATCCATGGTGACGTAGACAACCAATTTTTAAAATGACGCCACAATGTAAAATCAAGTGACAGTCAGCGTGGCGGATTATAGCCTAAAACCATCGCCAAAGAGGAGACCCGTGCCCGTATAAATAGGTTGATGATGATGTACGAAACATTATTTTATAAGAAATATATCATGGCGTCAGTTTTCGTAGAGTAGCTAGTTTTTCACCATCTATGTCATGTGTGTGTGGGAGTTGATGGATCGCAATCGCAACACGGGTATCATAATCATCAGCTAAAATATGTGTTTAGTCATAAATTTTGTTTGTTTTAAGCCAAAACGATGAAAGCCAGGTTTACAACTTTTTGAGAGAATTGACTTTTAAGATTGATCGAATGTCTCTTTAACTGGCGGCATAAATTCTCTTATTTAAATATTTTTTGCCATCTACGAGTATTAGCGACTTTTACTGGTGCAATTAGCAATATTTTATAGTGACACTTCACATGGCTAATTGTGGTCGGTTTCGCGATGCAAATTCAAAGAGGTCAAATAGGCAAATACACATGTAAACCGTCCAGAATGTGGCCATATTTACATAGGTAGATGGATAAACAGTTTATTCACTGATATAATACAAATACAGATTAAGCATAAAGAAAAAACTAAACATGATTGTCATAGCAGTGAAACGGCGCTGACTCAGCATATGCCAAAGTTTCCAAAGGCGCTGGTTTTCAGTCAGGACCAACGAGAGGGAATAAATTATTTGGAAGCAAAAATATAACGACTGTGAGTAAAGTTATACATTGACAATAATACATACATACATACATACATAGTAAAGTGTAAATAGTGCATCTAAAATAACCTGTTTGACATGTAAGTTAAAATTTACATTAAAAGTATTTTAATTGAAAAATCATATTACAAATTTGAGACTACGTGTTAGATAAAGATGTATGGGATGACGACATGAGTTTAGATTCCACACGAATAAGATTCAAAGTGCATTCCATAGTAGTTAAGTTTATTTGAAAAGAGCAATCAATAATAACCCACCAATAACGCACACACTCATAGGGCCATGGACACAAATAGACAACCACAAATTACACCCAAACTCACAAGATAAATAAATGTAGGCCATTGTGGGACTATGTATTTACCTAAAGAAAACTGTAATGTTTTTATATATATTAAATAAATAAATAATAATAATAAATATTGTTCTCGACCCGGGATACATACCCGGGACCTCTGCGTGCAGACCAGCATGGTAACCGTTCGGTCCCGGAAGCAGTTTCCCTAGAGTTTCTTGCTCGTTCTTCTCAGGGTAGTCAGCATAGTGTAAAATGATAAAATTTTACCTTAAACGATTATTTGACTTTGATTTAAAGTAATTTATAGTTGTTGTTGTATGTGTGTATTGTTCCTTAGTGGCATATAGGTTTTTTTTTAAACGACTGACGACGATACGCCTGTCCATAAGAGTTGCAGTGCCACTCAGAGCTTTAAACCGCAAAGATTTGAGGGGCATTATGGGCATAACCACTGCGCCCATATAATTTTTGTTGCTGCTGTTGCGCTCACAAACCCAAATTGTCGATGTAGACCACGTGATGGCGGGATGACTTGGACTATTTTTTAAAGGACTGGCCAGATGTTGCCTAAGATCGAGAGCAATGGTAAAATAAGGGGGACGCCTTTGCCCAGCAGCGGGACAAAAAGGAATTTAAAAAAATCGGAATTTTATTTGTGTTATTAGTAATATCTTTTTTTTTATATACATGACAGGCAAATGACTCCACTCCACCTGATGTTAAGTGGAAAGTGGTATCCAAACGTAAAGTATCTTAAAGTAACTGTAGTTGTACTGCAAAAATAACTAAAAAATCCTACAGTTCCTTAGTTGTATGTAGGCTTTTTTATAATACCAAATGACGGCCGGACGAGCTAGTCGTGTGGCTGGTGGTAAGCGACACACCTGTCCATAACTTTGATCTGATCTGAGGGACACTGCCACTGCGCCCGTCAGCCTGAGGTATTATAATAAGCTGACAAGTCCCATGTGCCTGTAATTTCACCAGACCCTTGCCCTTCAAAACCGGAGCGCAGCAGTGATGCTCTAATGACGGCTTGGCGGCAGACAAAAGATAATTGTGACCTGATAAATGATACTTATAATCGAATAAAACATGTGCGTAATATACGAGTAGAGAATATTTTGTACTCGTGTGGCGAAAAGAAGTAATTACGAGAATAGAAATAAATTATTTAATATAAAGCTTTTTTGTGTGGAATGTATTTGTTAATTTTGAAAACACACTCACAAACACACACCCACTACATGATACCAATGTAAGCATAGTAGTTTATAGTTGGTAGCATTACTTTGGGTAATTAATTAAAATATTTATTACATTTGTAATGCACACAGATCAACACAATCTAGGGATATTTTAGTTTGCCATGTATTGAAAAGAGTTCCACAAAAAATTCTTGAAACGTTCACAGAAAAATGTGCAGTATTTTATACTCTGATAGAAAATTAAATAAAAGTCCTTACAAATAAAAAAATGGTAAAAATAAAAAGAGTCTCTTTGTACTACAATAAGAACTTCTGTTTATTATGATTAAAGGAAAAAAACAAAATGAAATGAACTTGTTACAAAATTAAAATAAATAACCTGTAAAGGCACATCGGATTTTTATAACGCATCTGCAACGATCGTGTATACTTAGAATGAGGATATTATCTCTTTGGGTAAAGTCCTAGGGTTCAACGAAGATGCATGAAAAGTTCACCAGATTTTCTGGAAACTTTCACGTCAATTTATTTTAGAAATTATATTTTAAATGGACAGTATGGGGAAATCTAGAGTACGGGCAAAGATACAAGGAAACTGTCTCAGGAACCATTTTTTTGTGAAAACAATTTTGGCATAGTCAACTTTTTGGTCAAGCATGAGTTGTCCATAAAAATGAATAAAATTGATCAAATTTTTTTTAGTACTGATCGACTCATTTTTATCTAAGGATTATTTCATTGTATGGGACCAAAAAATCGGAACAGCACAAGTTGGTCAAATTGCATAAAAAAATTTTTTTCGTACAAAATGAATAAAATTGTCAACCTTACACGAGTCGTCCGGCCGAAAAAAATATGCCGTATGCATATTATGCTCTAAAAGCCGTCTGGTTAGGTATTTTCACAAACATATAATTTAAAAAATGTATAATATTAATAAAATACAATGTTTGGCCTTATTAAACAGTATCTAGATTTTAAGACCCGCATAAGAAATAAACTTCTGATATAAATAAGAAGTTTAAATAGTTTTCAACTTTACACATGGGTATGTACAAAATGACATTTAGTATCTTTACATCTGAAGTATATACGTATTTTTTATAAAAATACGGCCTTGGGATTTGTTAAACTAAAGGTTATTCACCATTCATATAGTCTATAACTTCTTATTATCAACGAGTTTCTCTTAATAAGACTATTACTTTACATATAAAAATATTTTAAATAAAGATGCACCTTAAATACCTCCTGTACTATTGTAATTACAGAATAATAATAATAATAATAATAACGCACACACTCAACATAGCCCCGCACTAGGGAAACCCTGTGTTACGGGTGCCATGGACACACACATAGACAACCACAAATTACACCCAAACTCACGAGAGAAATAAATGTAGGCCATACAAATATTTCTCCCGGCCCGGGAATCGAACCTGGGACCTCTACGTGGCAGTCCGGCATGGTAACCGTTCGGCCACAGAGGCAGTTAAAGAATAATAGAAAAGGTACTTTTATAATAGACTGATGTGGCGTCGTGGACAGCAACATGGGAAAAATCAAAGAGACTAGTAACATTAAAAGCAGTAAAATAATTGGAATGGGGACAAGGAGAAATCGTAGAGAATTATCTGAGACTGTTTACAGTCGCCGCAGACGGACTGGCGGGCGCCGGGACGCTGGGCGCACAACTGTAAGATACTGGCTCGTAAGTTTTACTATTGATCCTGAAATAGGTTTTATTAAAACTGTGGCCAAGTATGATCACAGGTAGACAAATAAAAACTGTCGCGATTATCAATAAAAAATTGGACATAGTAATTTAATTATACTTCGTTTTGAATTACAAAAACTAAACAAACAAGTGATAGTAGGTAAATCAGTTTCTTCACACAACCACAGTAAAGAAAATCATCGTGAATTGATGACAAATGACTTTCACTAATTATACTATAAAATGTTATTGTTTTATAAAAGGTTATCATTCAACGTTTGGTAGTAAAATTTTTCGTCGTCTAGGACAGGCTGGCATTTAATAAGCCAGCTACTGTCAATACCATAAACCATTTCAGATTTGAATTTTTCTTCAAGCATTTAATTTTCTAACATTTTTTCGCGGGACGTCTTAAGAGAATTATATATAAAGTACACGCAAAATTAATTCAAGAGAAAAGACGCCATTTTGGAAAGTCCTCAACGTTTGTAACCTTTGTGTTTTAAGTTTTTTGTACTGCAAGTCTTTCATAAAGGTTATTTGTAAATACAGAAAATTTACATTTCATTTTTAATGACTGCTGCAAATAAAAAAAAAACGTAATAATTAAGGTAATAAATATGACGAATGTTATTAAATTGTTTTTGTTACAAAATTACACAATGAAATCCTGGTAAAAGATCCAAATATTCCTTCTGTTTCCTTAACTAAATGAAAACGAGTATTGGAACATTAAAAGTGATTACTTATATCCTTTTATCATGAAAAATGCTAGCAGTTTCTTCTCAACAACAAAACAAAGCAATCTTTCTATGTTTTCAAGACAACAAAATCTTACCCAGCTACTTCACATATTTTGTTACTAAGGCTCTGTCAGAAGCCTTGACTGCATGTTTGCAGTTAATACCTGAAGTCGACGATTAATGACGTCTAATGAAACTTCTCTCTACTGATTTATTTTTCACACTGAGGTCCTGAACTAGGCGCGTGGCGATAACTGCCTGCAGGTCAGTCGACTGCATGCAGTCGGTTTCGTCTGCGTGGAGTTTTATTATACAGACTTCGCGCATGCAGTTCGTTTAGTAGCGGTCTTTGGTAGCAATGTAATATTCGAGATAAATTTCTGCCCCCTGGATGGGCGTACGAAGCTCAAAAGTGGAACAGCACAAGCCACAACCAAACACATCAAAACGATCGAAGCAAGGAGCATCCTTCAGTTCTTTAACACTGTTAGCCTTGGCTCCGAATTGTAATTAATGGTGATAATGGTCGGTGTAATGATAGGCTGCATAGGTCCTGAATATAAAACTTTTGTCTCGTGTACTGTGTGTGCAACTATATGACAATTCAGGAAGCAAACAAAGGTACCTAACATTTTGTAGTAAATGAATTAATTTGCTTGCAACATATTTTCGGAGGCAGTTACACACATAGTGCTGTTCGCGAATAGGCCGGCGCCGCAATGTCTCCGGCGGCAATCGATCGTGACGCACTCACCAACGACGCACCGGCGCCGGTGCTGTCCACCCCACTTTGATCTCATCTATGAGCCTTATTGCCATAGACACAGAATACCTAGTAGTGCAATGTCCTCAAGACAATGTCATGTTATGTGTTTGGAGACGTATTCGCTGAGGTGCAGGTTAGAATCTACAAAGTACTCGATTTTTAAACTGCATATTGGAATGTTAAAAGACGTTAGGTACAATGAAAAATGTTTTGTACAGTGATTAACTGAGAAAATATTGAGAAATCTGAAACTACACCAGATACAGGGAAGCTATTTAAAGTTTCATAAGTCTTTAATAAGTTAATAATTTCAATTTAGTAAAATTTTTGGTCAAGTGTGAATGTTGTACTTATCGGATGTAAACCAACCTGGATAGTAGAAGTTGGTGAAATTTAACGTACATATATACGTTTTTTTCTTATGGTTGAATTTAGTTTACTACATACTTGTAGTGTATACATATACCTGGTCACTTTTCTTAACTCATTAATGGCTAATTTTCAGGTTAGTTTTCCTACCTAATTTCTGTGGCAATTTTTATTATGTATTCGAATAAATTATCATGATATCGAATGTTAAATAATATTTCACGATAATATTCTAGAATTTTTAAATAAAAACATTTGCCACAGGAAATTAGATAGATGAAACTAACCTGAATAGTAACTAATATAGGGTTTTATGGTGTGTTAGGTCTATTTCCTTTTTACTTTAAATTTCAAGTAAGAATAGTATGCCACGTTGACTGCATTATCCGTGTCTGGTGATTATATCTTATCTTTGCAGCGAATTACCCGAGGCGAGCTCGGGCAATGTAATGGCCGATTGTAATTCTTACTCCGACCATTCATTGATTACCACTAATTACAAGTCGGAGCCCAGGCTAACAGTGTTAAAGAACTGGAGGATTGTTTGATTCCTGTTCCACATGGTACATGGGACTCGTCAGCCTATGTCTCGTCTTGTCTTGACTTGTTCGTCTCGTCACTTGGTATCATAAAAAAAATACTTCCCATATTTTGTAGAAATTCTAAATGGTTGAAAATTTTCCAAATTCATTGTATAGTAAGTCTATGTGATTTATCGGTACTAAAAATAATTTTGTTGAATTTGATCAATCAATTTGAACATTTGCCGGAGTATAGATATCTAAGTACATATAGGTTGTTTGGCTAAACTTTGGCAATGTATTATTCACGCGGGACAATAAGATTTTGTTCTAGAGATTGATATGGTAGGGTGTACCAATTTTATAATAAATACTTAATTGTGAAATCCATTTTGAATTCGTTAAAAGAGAGCTTTGCAAAGCTTTCATCATAGATGGAAAAGAGGATGCCTACATTTAGTGAGTTAGGAATTAAAAACATTGTAATAATTATGAAAAAGTTGATTTATTATTATTATAAATTATAGATAATTATTATAATACAGTTTACAATAATTACAAGCGATCACCAAACAGGGTGAAAGAAAATGGCGTATTAAATTATCTAGCATTGTGCATGGAGAGTCGCGCGTTTCTGTAATATGTATCGAGCGGGCGGCACCGGCGCAGCGGCGATTGTTATCTGACTGTCCCTCGGCGGCGGCGCCGGCGCGGCCCGCCTGGGTTCGACTCTCTGCGCACACGCATATAGTTATTCGATTGTAGGATATAGTCTTTCGAACGTGAGGAACAAAGTATTACACAAGTCGAAAATATTATTTATAATCGATTCGGATTAAATCGGATTCGAGAGCGGCAGAAGCACGGGAGAGCGGGGCGGGGCGGAGGCGCGGCGCGGGCGGCAGCTATGTACAGGGCGCCGCTAAGGGCAGTCGCACTCCTCGACCACCATCTCGGGCAGGTCACGCTTGATGATGTTGGCGTCGGCGCCGAAGTAGATGAGCGACAGTGCAGAGAAGCGCACGGGCGCGCAGCACGCCGCGCGCTCTAGCCGCGCCGCCTCCACCACCTGCGCGTGGTAGTTTTGGAAGGGCGCGCACGCACCGCGGCAGTAATTTGCGTAGTAACCCTCCGGCGCTACAATCCAGTCGTCCCAGCCCAGCGCGCGGAAGCTCACGTAGAAAGTCTGGCGGCAGCAGCTGCCTCGCGATGCGGCGTCGCAATCTAACGACCGGCGCCGACGCTGCGGTGGCGGCGCTAGTCGGAGGCGCAGTAATGGCCGTGCCGCCTGACCGCCACCTAACCGCAGACGTACGCGGCCTAGGCAACCGCTGCAGTCCAACAGCAGTCGCAGCGGCCCCCTAGCTCCGCCCGCGGTCCAGCGCCTCGCCGCCGCAGTCACGTCCAGGCGCTGCCAACCACGACTGGGGTCACGCCGTGCTGCGCCAGCCAGCGCACCCACGCTGTTGTTGCCCTCCACCGTGAACGCCCACAGCGTGTAGCGTAGGTGGCGCGCGCGCGGCGCCGTCTCGGCGCGCACCATTAGCTCGGCGCTGGCCACGGATAGACCCTCGCTTTGGTCGGCCTCTTGGCCGAGTCTAAACTCGATCAGTCGTTGACCGTTTAACGTATCACCTGCAAGTACACACCCATTCGTAAAGTCCGCTTTCGCTCCCAGGTAGAAAAAAACCTAGACCGAACTGCCTACGTATGCGAAATGACCCATCTTGACGAAGAAAATTTGGTGTCGTGATAGGAATTCAATTTAAACACATGGACGTAGGATAGAGTGCGCGTGGTGGTCGTCCGTGGCTGCAGACTACGCGCCGCCGGTCGTCGCGCCCGCAAGTTCTCATGTGCTTATGAGGGTGTGCCGAATCGACGTCGCGATAGCCGCGCGCACAATCGCTTCATCATTGAAGCCCACTATTCAAATTTTTTTGTGTTTGGTTTTAAAAAGAATTCAAAAGCATTCCAATCACTATCACCAAATGAATATATTGCAAATAAAAAATAAAAAAAATTAACGACTAGTCCTTTCTGTATTGTACAGGCAGGTACTCCGGAGATTGCGTGCTCTTCAGTATTTGGCTAGTGAAGGTCGTAATTCGTTTCCCTCAATTCGCTTCTTGGAGTACTGAAACAAAAGAACTACTTAATTTTTTTACATTTCATGACATTTGTTAGGTTTTATAATTAAGTACCGGAAGGTAGTTACATAAACGAAGCAAGTGGAAAGATAAAGTTGATTATCGCGTTTCCGAGTCAGCGACGAGGATCAAAGCGTATCGACACACGTTTTGAACTTGCGCTTCATAGTATTTAATCGAATAAATAGAACCCGCACAATAGACTCGATCGGTTGACACCATTGACACTGCAATGAATTGTGTAAAGATTTTTTGGTTCTAATTTGATTTCAGAGACCATAATGAATACAGTTTAGTCGACAAAAGAAACCGCAATGCAGACTTGCGAGTAGAACAGTGGACAAGATGAGGAGAGTCTACAATTTGAAATAAAATGTTTCGATATTTCGGATTGAAATAAGATAACACTGCACGAAGGGTGCAAAATTGTCGTGTGCTACAAATAAGACAATAATATACATATTAATTAAAATTGCTGAATATCATAATGGTGTAGGCGTAGTATAAGTAAGGCATGTACCATAGTTCTCTACAATGGTCCCACGTATTTTGACATTCAAATTACTCTAAGTGTTTGGTGACGCTTCTCTGAGACTTAAGAATTTATATCAGAAGCTTAAATCGTATAAATTCTTAGTAGAACGTCCATGGGGCTTAGGTATCAATAATTCAAGGTGGTTCGAGCGGCCAGTTATCGTGGGCCATGCAGCGTGTGTGCAACTTAATAGAATTATCGATTATTTGCAAGTAGTTTCGTAACACTTGTTTAGACCTATGAAAGTAAGTAATTGGAGCATACGGCTGGGTTTTACAATACAGCACAACACTCATACTACACAAAAACAAAAACCAAAAGAAGAGAGGAAACTATTTTGAGTGCGTAGATAGTCTTAGCAACTAAGTCAAGTTATAACTACTTTTGAAATTTCATAAATGAAGATTTGTGGTGTACACCGCACAATATACTATAACGTAATAGGTACTTCGGAATTATAAAGCATTCAAAAACAATTATACAATTAACCTATTCAAATATCACTTATTGGGGAAGAGATTTTTTTAAAACATTTGAAATGGTTGGGCGGTACCTACAGCTATGCTAATAATTTAAGTGCGACCGTGTTATGTAAAACAACTGACCTGGCCTCGGCTCGGCAACCGCTACCTCTTTGCCCTTTATTTATTGGACGCCTGAAGAAATCAGATTAAAGCGACCGACATGAAAGTGAATCTTACAAGGCAATTTTCTTGAAATATATGTTTATAAATAATATGAGTGCATTTTTGACATACATGGATATTTTGTGTGACAATATTTAGGTTTAAGAAGTTAAAGTGGCAAAATAAACAATAAACTATTGAGCACGTATAATTGAATGTTACTAGCAGTAGAGCTCCTTGTGAAAGAGTTCGTCCAGGATAGTACTGCCACCTTATCTATTTTTTTTGTGTGAAGTTGCTTCAGCTGTACCAAGTACAAGTCCGGTCGTGCATGGAGTACTGCAGCCACCTTTGGGATGGCTCTGCTACATACCAAGTGGCCACTTTAGATTCAATTGACAACCTTGCCAAGAGGCTTATAGGTGACTCGGAATTAATGGAAGCGAAGCTGCAGAGCCTTGAACACCGCCGTCAATTTGCCTGCTTATCGGTACTTTACAGAATATATCACGGAGAGTGTGCGATGGAATTACACAATTTTATTCCGTCTTACCATTTCCATCACCGGGGGACTAGCCGTAGGCTTGGGTTCCACCCCTATGTTGTGGATATTCCAAAGATTCGCACGAAGCGTTATGCTTCCACATTTATATGGCGAACTATGGAGAGGAATTCGCTGCCTGCAGACTTGTTCCCTGAACGGCATAACTTGGACCTTTACAAGGCGAGAGTGAATAGGCATTATTTAGGTGTGTATGCTCCATCGTCGACCTCATCTTCACTTTCTATCAGGTGAGATGGAAGTCAAGTGCGCACTAATAATTTATATAAAAAAGGGTGCTGGTGAAATTACAGGCACACAGGACTTGTCAACTTATGTCTCAGGGTGACAGCGCAATGGCAGTGCCCCTCAGATCTTTGCGATTTAAAGCTCTGAGTGGCATTGCAACTGATGGACAGGCGTGTAGCTTACCATCAGGCGTATGACTTGTTCGTCCCGTCACTTAATATTATTAAAAAAACTGAATAGTTACGAACGTTGTTTTTTTAAGGTTTCTGATCAGTCTATTTTAACTTTAAACATATGTAACAATTCCTAAGTAAGGCATTCCTGACGAGCGACTTGCGTGTCCCAGGTCGTCAACCGACAAATATGCCTATTTGTCCGGTGTCATACAAGCCACAAGGCCTTGTCCAAAACTTCTTTTGTAACTGTTCTTTTAACATTATACTCAATGAAGAATAAGAAAAAGTGAAGAAGATATCTCAGGATGGAATAATTTAGAAGGAAATTTATGCGTTATACTAAAAATACGACCCAGTTTGGAGTCAACTATCTCAATATTACAAAATTGAGTAAAATATTTAAGCAGTCTCTGCTAAATACCACGACAATAATGTAGAGTAAATCAGTGTCGAAAATTGCGACTTTAAACAGGTACATTAAGTCCTTTTTAACCGACTTCCGAAAAAGGAGGAGGTTCTCAAATCGACTGTATGTTTTTTTTGTATGTATGTTACGCGATAACTCCGGTATTTGTAAACCGATTTTGATGATTATTTTTTGATGGACCTCCATAGTGGTCCCATTTAATTTTCAAGAAAATCTCTAAAGGTGGCTGTCCACGCATGAAGATTCATTTTTATAAATAGCGCCTAAATGTTATTATAAGGAGCAATTATTTTAATGGTTGATTTTGCTATTCTTCAATTTAAGGTGTTTTACTTTCTCAATATACTTTAAGTAGTAAAAAACGATTTTTATTTTATTATATGTGGTGAACTAAGGGATGAATCCGGGTTTGCGCACTTTCTGGTAACCGATTTCAATACAACTTAGCAAATAGATGTAATTCCACGTACTTTTGAGGTCGGTTTTTTTAGTACTCTGCACTGAGATTATTACAATACAAAAAATCATACAGAAGTTAACATGTAATTAAAAAATGATCCGTTTTGCTTTAACTCACACCTATAACACCTCACACCTCACAAAAACAACAACTCACACACCTGTCTGTTGTATTTAACTTATCAATATTAATCATCCAAAAATTGTTTTATTTAAGTCGCCCAATAATACCCAAAACCCAAAACTTTCCCATTCTAACAGAAAAAGAAACACCCTATGCCAAGGCCGAAATATACGTTATTTAGTTAAGTAAGTAAATTCATATTTGACTAGTTCCATCGTACTGCGTATTCTTGGCATGTGCAATTCGGTTGCTAGGAAAGTCTTTCAGAATTGACGCAGGTAAGAAATTGAACGGTTAATTGAGTAATGTAAGATAGTATAATGGATGGATCGCAATGGTGTTTAGAACTGCGGGAGTTTTCAGAAATGAGAAGTGAATTGTAATAGTGCAAGTTAATTAAAATCAAAATTACTTGCTTTGATAATCTGCATATTAAAAAAAGAAAATAGAACTTAATAATAAAACGAACTTTTTCCATTGTACTAAATGATAATCCCTCTTCCAAAAGTTACTAACCACAGTCTACTCAAGCATTACCGTCCCATCTCAATTCTTCCTTTTCTTTCTAAAGTCTTAGAGGCTGTCGTTCACAAGCAATTGTCTGTTCATGTTTACTCAACCAATATCATTTCTCAATTTCAATCAGGTTTTCGAACATGTACTTCTACTGCCTTGCTGAAGATTGTTGAGGAGGGGCATAGACTATACTTACTGTGCTGGTCCTAATTGACTTCTCTAATGCCTTCAACGTTGCCATCTTAGACCACTTAAACATCTCATCAACGGCAGCTGAACGGTTGTTTTCTTATCTCCGTGATCGCTCACAAGCGATTCGTATTGATCGCTCGTTCTCTGATTGGTGTAAACTCACTTCTTGGGTACCTCAAGGCGGAATTCTCAGTCCTCTCTTGTTTTCTATTTTCATAAATCTGATTACATCCAGTGTAATCAGATTACATCAAATGTTCTTACCACCTGTACGCCGACGACTTGCAGCTTAATACCGAGGTTAATGTCTGTTAATGTTTCGTCTTGTGATATATCGTGCGTACCACCAATAATGTTTGAGAACGTAGTGATTCCTCTGTCAAATCACGTAAAGAACTTGGGGCTTATTATTGACACTGGCCTTACGTGTGATCCCTAGGTGTCTGATGTTTGTCGTAGGGTTACAGACACACTAAGAGCTCTATACAGGTTTAAGAACTTTCTTCCCAGTACAACCAAAGCTCTTCTTGTTCAAGCTCTAGTGTTGCCTGCGATTGATTATGCTGACTTGTGTTATAGTAACATCTCTCAAGTCTCTTTGAACAGATTAGATCGTGTTCTTAAAAACTGCATTAGGTTTATTTTTGGTCTGCGGAAGTATGACCACATCTCTGCTTTTCGTCGTCAACTAAATTGGCTTCCCATCCGTGAACGCAGATCCTTAAGAATCTTAAAAACTCTTTTCTCCATCTTGATCGACCCGGCTGCACCTGATCATATTAAATGTTCATTTCAATAATAAACCGCTCGGCCAGGATGCGTATTTCGATCTTCCCGTAGTCTTAAGCTCTCTATTCTTTCTCATCGCACTGATTTCTTGTCTAATTCTTTTATCCTTCATGCAATCCGTCTTTGGAACGCGCTCCCGCTCCATATAAGACAAGCTCAGACCAAATTATCTTGCAAGCGCATGTTGCGCAAGCATCTGTTTGACAATTGTCAAAATCAAGACTCTGTATAGTGTTGCTTTGATTCAAATTCAAATTCAAATTCAAAATAATCTTTATTTCATAGGTAAGCATTATTACACTTGAAATAGTCACAATATTAAACTCTACCGCTCATTCGTAAGGCAGATTCCC